TGTCAACCTCTTCCTATCTGCTACCTCCTCTCCCCCTCTTCCCTCCTTCCTCCCCCCTACCCCAATGCCATCACTCCTCTCCTCTCCTCCGCTCCTCTCCTCTCCGCTCCTCTCCTCTCCTCTCCTCTCTTCTCCTCTCCTCTGCCTTGTGACTGACTGCAGGTCTTGGGCCTGCTATCTCTTCTCTTCCTCTTCTTGAGGCTGGGAATCTACTACGTGGTACAGACTGCTCCCTGCTCCCTGCTCCCTGCCCATCTTGCTCTTCCCCCATCCAGTAGAATTGCTCCTCATCCTCAGCGTACAGGAATCAACGGGACAGAACTCAAGGTTCAAGAAGGAGGCAGACGGCATGATCGACTACCTTGCGAGGAGGAACATCTCAGAAGACGTCAGAGAGGAAGTGGAGGATTACTTTCGCTTCAGGAGAGTATCTCTTCCTGCTCCCCCATCCTTCCCCGCCCTCTCCCCCTCCCCTTTTCCCAACTCCATATCCATCACCTTCTCCTCCTCCTCCTCCTCCTCCTCCTCCTCCAATCGACCCTTCTCTTTCCCCCCTTCCTATCGTGTCCTTCCCTGAGCTTGCCTCCCCTGCCTCTCACCTCAACACTGTCTTCCTAACCCTGTCATTCCACTCTTTCCCTTCCTACCTCATGCTCATCCTCGTTGTGCAGGTGGAAAGAGTCTCAGGGTTTCAACGACCTTGACCGCATTCGCTCTCTCCCCGCTTCTATCCGTGTTCACACTTTCCACAGGTGAGAGGAGGGGGAGGAGCTGACGAAAAATCTCGAGGAGGGGAGGAATGGGGACAGGAGGAGGAGGGTTCGAGTTAAAGGAGCAAGAAATGATCGAGGGAAAGATTGAGGAATGTCAAAGGACAGTGGGGGAGAAGAGAGGTAGGAGGGAAAGGGGACGATAGAGGGAGAAGGAACTTGGAAGGAAGACAGGTAGGACGAGGAGAAGGAGAGGGAGGGAGCAGGAGCAAGGAGTGGTAGGATAGGTAGGAGGGGAGAGGGGGAGAGGTTGATGTTGCTCAGAGACTCTACGTTTTCCAGTATCACCTGTGGGATTGCGAACTTGGTCGACTTTCTGTCAATCAGGAAATTGGGAGACATACCCTTCTGGTATCCAACCACCACAGGCCATCCTGTTGCTCCCTCCTCCCTCCTCCCTCCTCCCTCCTCCCTCCTCCCTCCTCGTCTTCTTTGTCTTCTTCCTTTTCCGCCACTCCATTCCTGCTGCTGTTTCTTTCATCTCCATCAATCTATCCACATTCACTGTCACGCTCTTGCCTCCTCCTTTCTTTTCGTTCTGCTCATTTCTCTTCATTCTCCACATTGCTACTCCTGCTCCTCCTGCTCCTTCTTCTCCTGCTCCCGCCCCGGCCCCAGCTCCTCCAGCCCCTGCTCCTGCTCCTCTCCTGCTCCTGCTGGATTTTCTTCTCCCCTTGTACTTTGTTCCTCTGCTCTGCCATCCTCGATTCTCTCTCTGTGTTCTCCTCCTCCATCAGCGTTGTCATCACTTGACCCCTGGTTGACTTTTTTTCTTGTCAGGGAAGTGATCACAGAAGAGTTGGTTGAGGTGAAGTCTCCTTATGC